GCCGCCCTCCCGGCCTTCGACGCCCCCGCCCCGGCCTCGCCCCGGCCCCCCAGCCCAACCCCCGCCCCGGCCTCGCCCCGGCCCCCCAGCCCAGCCCTCGCCGTGGCCCGCCGGCCCCTCCTCACCACTCAGGCACACGAAGCCCAGCAGGGCCCGGCAGAAGAAAGGCCCCGGGAGCCCGGCCATGGCTGCCGTCTGTCGGTCGCAGTGGGTGTCTGGGAGGGAAGGGAGCGCCCGGCGGGCAGCTGCCCGGTGCTGGGCAGGAGTGAGACTGGCTATCTCAGAGCAAACAAGGCGAGAGGCCGGCACCCTCAGGTAAGGAAATGCCCCTCCTCCTCCAGGCCCAATTCTGGTGTGATTCTAGCCTCGCACCCTCTGCCTTCCTCTTCCTCCCCAATTTCTGAAGCTGTCAGACCTGGGTAAAGGGCTGGCCTTGGGGTGGGCATCGTGAGGGAAAGGGTTAGGAACTGGGGCTCTGGAGGAAAAGAGTGGCTGTGTAGGAAGAGGGACGCATTCTGACAGCCTGAGAGCTGGCAAAGGACACCACCACTCCTTGGCTTCACACAGTGAGCAAGAGCCCCAGGCCGCCGACCTTTTCTAGCCCCTTTAGAGCCCCTCTTCCAAGCCCCTCTTTTTTTCATCACTTGCTGAGGTGGAAGTTTCCATAGAAATTACAACCGTGTCCCCATTCCCAGAGCCACCCCATTTTATGGGCAGAGAAGCTGAGACATAGAAGAGACCGTACCTTTGGTAGGAAAAGGCATGGCAGAATTCGGACATAGACCTGCACCACATCCCACGCCCAGCTCTCCCTCAGTAACAAGGGGGATCGCTGCTGCCCTGCTGCCGGATGGGCAGGAGGTGTGTTTGTGAAGGATTCAGTCGTCAGGGAGAGGGAAGCACAAGTCAGGTTCCTCTCCCCTGCCCTGAGGGGAAGCGGAGGTGAGGTGCATGTACCCCAAAGCCCTGAGTACTCTGCTCAGCAGGAAGTGCACCTGTTTCACCCCCTCGCTTCTCAGAGAGGGTTCGGGTATCCTTAGCCTCAGGATCCTGGTACCTACCCATCTCCACATGACAGCAAATGACCTTTCTAAAGACTCTAGAAGAGCTATCCTGAGCCAGTAAGCTCTGAGAAGCCCTCCTGGGTATACAGCCTGGGTAGGGGTAGGGGTCTATTTTGCATCATCCTGAAACTCAACTTCTTGGAATTTCTGGTTTGAAAAGGCAATTTGATTCTTATTCCATACAAGCACAATGTATCTTTATTGAAATAAAGCAAAATAAAAACACACATTTCAAGTCAGTTTTTAAAATATCTTCCCTATCTCCTGCCCCAACAAAACTCAACCAAGCCAGCAGGACAGGTTATATTAATGTAGACAGATGGAGTGGGAACAAAGGATGGCATTAGATAGGGGTGGGGTACAGATCAAAGGGGCCTGAGGGACTCATTGCCTGGCAGTTTTCTCCAGGGCCCTTGGTGGGGAGCCAATCTCAGCAGATTCAGCTGGCTTCACAGGGAGGAGCAGGAGAGGGGGTAGAGACTCCTCCCAATCCCAGGTCCCCTTTCTCTTCTCCTTCTACCTCCTGGACATTTGAGTCTTACTGAGACTCAGCTTCCCACAATAAAGGTGGGGCAGAGGACTGGAGGTCTGGAGCAGGGCTACCCTCCCAAGACTCAGGCCTCTGGGCTAGGGGTGACCCCTACAGGAAGGAGAGACACTAGGTGGTTTAGCCAGGGAATGGCTGGGCCCTCACACAAGAGATCCAGCCTGACTCTGGGCTGGCAACATCACAGGCACAGCACCCATGCGGCTCAGAGCACAGGAAGAAACCCCACCAGGACAGGTGGATATTGGCTGAGGATGGGCCCCACCTGTCCTGGGCACTGTTGGTGAGGGCTGGGCCTGGCTAGAGAGACTAGGCATGGGGGTCAATGCACCAGACCTGGGAGGGCCATGGGGTGGCTGGAGGGCTCGTGCTGAGGTGACAGAAGAAAGGGTCCCATTCTTGGAGATTGTGTCTGAGCCCTTAGGCCACGGCAGGGTCCGGGGAGCAATGGCATCCTCCCTAGTCATCAAAGAAGTAACAAGAGATCAGAAGCAGGAGAAGGAGAGGAGAGTTTCTACACGTTTTGTCTCAGGTCTCCTCCCCCCCCCACACACCCCTCCTCTTTCTCTCCATTAAAATCTGCCCACAGGAATGATCAGAAGCAGGAGAAGGAGAGGAGAGTTTCTACACGTTTTGTCTCAGGTCTCCTCCCCCCCACACACACCCCTCCTCTTTCTCTCCATTAAAATCTGCCCACAGGAATGTTTCAGCTACTGGCCACCATTCCATTAGATAAGAGCTGCCGAAATTCCCAGGCTCTGTGAGGGAAGCTAGCAGAGCCCCCATCATAGTGGAGACCAGGGACACTTACTTGATGTCATTGGCTGGCTCCTCCATAGCCTTGCCCCGGCGTTGGTACAAGAGGACCAGCCCAGCCAGCAGCCCCAATCCAACCAGGGTACCCACAACAGCTCCAGCAACCACTGCAGCCCCAGGCTCTAGAAAAGGCTTGGTGTCAGAGGGGGACACCCAGCTGTTCGCCACCCCTCTCCAATCCCACTACCCCCTGCCACCATACATATTCTCTCATTTTCCCTGTGAAGAAGAGAGGTGGCCGTCAAGCAGCAAATGACCAGTCACTGACACATTCGACCAGGGCAAGCTCCCTGTCCTGTTACAACTACAATTAGAGGCCTCAGCAGACAAGCTTCCTCCCCTCTTGCATGCCCACCCTCACCATTGACCACTCTTCTCGTAACCACACTTACCCCTCACTGACCTGTGCTCACTTCCAGGGTCACATTGCACTGGGCACTGCCCACCTCATTGTGGGCCCTGCAGACATAGAGCCCAGACGTGGAACTGGAGAGGTTGGTGAGGCGTAAAGACCCACGGATGGCATCTATGGACACAATTTAGTCATCAGACCACAGACCCCCTTTTCCACTAAGAAAAAAAAAAAATCCTGCCCTGCCTCTGGAATGTCCTCTTTGACTCTCTGGGAGTCACAGCTTGTCTGTTCCTTGATGGAGGGGAAAGATGTGACAGCCAGCATGCTGGGCTCAGTCCTAGCTACAGACTGGCTAGCTTAATACCCCTCTCCACTTCCACTCCTCAGGTCTGAAAGGAGGTGAACGAGGAAGTGATGCACAGAAAAACCAAAACCCCATTTTTATTTTTATTTCTGAAAGACACTGTGATGAGTAGAGAAAGAACTAGGCTAGAAACTAGAAAACCCAAGATCCAGAATAGGCCACATGACTTTAAGCAAGTTACTCGATATCCTTGGGTCTCCATTTCTTCATCTGTAAAATGGGGCAATGTGACCTATCTAACGGTGTTGAAAGGATTATATGGGCTTATCATTATAACAGTTAATGTTCATTGGCTCCTTAATCTATGCCAAAGTCTGCTCTAAATTCTTTACATGTAGTAAGTCACCAAAATTTCACAACCAACCTATGAGATAAGCACTATTTTAAAAAATAAATAGCTTTTATTATAAAAATGGGCAAATGAAAAGTCAAAAGAGGGGCAAAATGAAAATCCATATAGCCACCACCTAGGTCCAACAGTTGTTAATATTTTGCCATATTCATTTCATTTCTCTCTCTTTTTTTAAGGCATTTTAAAGTAAATACTTCAGCATGAATCTTCAAAAAATAAGGACATTGTCCCACATGAGCACAATACCATTGCCATGCCTAAGAAATTAATAATAATTCTCAAAAATCATCTAATACTCCATAATAAAAATGTTCCAATTGTTCCCCAAATACTTTTCATAGCTAGTGTGTTCAAATCAGGGCTACTGATATCGCCATTTTACAAATGAGGGAATGGAGGCACAGAATCACACAGCTAGTGAGTGGCAGAGCTGGAGTTGGAACACCGACAATCTGGCTTCCGAGCCTCTTTAACAACAGTTACACAGCACGTGAAAGCACCTACCGCAGTGCCTGCACCTGGGAGGCCATCTTTCTCCACCCTCCCCCCATCATCCTCATCCTCCTCCCCAGTACTTTTCAACATTACCTCCCCTTTTCACCCCAGTCCCTGTGGTACCTCTCATCTTTCCCCATCCCTGGCCACAGCCTCAGTTGTTTCCAGAAGTTCCCTCACCTAAAAATGGTGCAAAGAAAACCTGAGGGGATGGGGACAGCTTCTCCCACTGGTATTGGGCAGGAGGCTTACTCCTTGGGGACTGGCAGCTCAGGGTCACGTTGGTCCCCACACGGGGCACACCCAGGAGATGGCAGGATGGAGGAGCTGGAGGAACTGGGGAAGGGAAACAGATTAAAACCCACACCTGAGGGACCCACAGATTTCTCCCCCTCCCCACACCCTTTTGCCATTCCACTAGCCCTTCTTCCAACCCTTACACTCAGCCATTTGGGAGAGAGACCTGCCTGACCCCCCGGGGTGCAGGGCCGTGGGGAGGGATCCGGAAGTTCACGCTTCTCACTCACCCAGCACATTGAGTTCTAAAGTTTTGCTGTTGTGGCCTCTAGGTATTCCTTGACCATCTTGCACATTCACAGAACACTTGTAGGAGCCAGAATCTTTCTCTTGGAGGCCCTGCAGCAACAGGGACACATTCCGGGAAGGCATGGGGTACAGCAGGGATGCTCCAGATTTGCTTGATGTGACCCCATTGATGTAGGCCAACACCTGGTGTGGGGCAAAACACCTGTCCGTTATTGTTATTATTACACACATGCCCCGGGCTCACAGGCTCAGCCAGTCCCCTTCCGCAAACTGTGTTCTCAAATGCCCCTCACCTGCACCCATCCTTCTACCTGTACCAGCTCCCAATTACCCCTGTCTCCCCAGCCACCCTCTCACCCACCCCTGTGACCTCTTCACCAGAGCAGTTCTTGTTCCCTCATACATTGTCTCTTCATCTCCGTCTTGCTTTTAGAAAGGTGGCATAAGAGGGGCAAGAGGGATAGTGTGAATAGGGGGTATGTATGAAAGAAACTTAGATTGCAGGGGTAGATCCAGGTTTTGTGAGGCATGAAACTTAGACAGTTGGGGGGTGGGGGCATCTTCAAGAAAAAGACAAAAATATCTTTTTTTTAGAACAAGAACAAATGATCTCCTTGAATACACTTTCCAGTACCTTAGAAGGAGTCCCTGCAAGTGAGAGGCTCTGGAAATAGTTTCATTCGCTTTTGGGTAAATCTGTCTCTGAGTGTAAGTCTGGTGTTATGACGAGGTTAGGTGGCAGGTTGTGGGAGGAGACAGCCCTTTGCCTCTGAAGGTGGCATATAGGGGCAGGGGGACAGATGATCATTTGGGAAGAGAACTGGACTGTGACTCGACAGTGTCCAAAGCACAGAGAATGTGAAGACAGAAACTTGCTCAGCTTTTAAAAGTTGTGTGTCACTTGCCCTAAGCCTTCCCTCAATTCCGACCCTATCCCTCCCCTCCATCCCCAATAGCAAGATAAAATGTCTCTCCGCTTTGGCAGTGTTTTGTGTGCTGAATTTCTAGGGAAAGTTGGGGAAAAGAGAATTCCCATTCCCCGGCCACTCCTCCCACCGTCGCGGGCGTTCCCTACGCCCCCCGCTGGGCGCAGCTTGCCACT